AGAGGTTGAAAAAAAAACTAAGGGCATTCCAGGAAGGCAACCTGTGCAGCTGAGGTGTAGGGATAAGGTTGGAAAGGTGCCAATGCCAGACTAATGAGTTGGCCTCTATCCTCTAGCCCTGGCTGCTTCTGTCATTAAGATCTTTCAAAAAAACAAGTTAGTGGCTTAAAAACCTGGGATCTGGATCATGCACCCTTCAATGACCAGTTATGTGACTGAGGCCAAGTTACCTAAATATTCCCAAACCTCAGTTTACTTATGTATAACATCAAAAAAGGTCTATTATAATACATCGAAGGCTTGGTATGAGAATTAAGTGGATTTACCAGCAACTCCTGGCATAATACCTAGCAGAGTAAACATTCAATAAATGGTAGCTATCGTAGGACACTCTCCAGGATCAGCAACCTGGTTTCTTCAAGAAATAAATTCAAGAGGATGAGAGAAAAGCTACAAATTAAAAGTGTTAAGAGACATATCAACCAAATGCAATGTGTAGGCCTTGTTTAAATCCTAAACTAACTACAAAATAATTATGAGACAACTGCTAAAATTTGAATACTGATTGTATATTTGATGATATTAAGGAATCACTTAATTTTTTAGGTTTGATACTGATACTTTTTTTTAAAGAGTATCATTTAGAGATACATAATAAAACATTTATGGATAAGAGGAGGGAGTACAGATGAAGTTAAGAGTGGCCATTTGCTTGGCCAGGCGCAGTGGCTCATAACTGTAATCCCAGCACTTTGGGAGGCCAAGGCTGATGGATTACCTGAGGTCAGGAGTTCAAAACCAGCCTGGCCAACATGGTGAAACCCTGTCTCTACTAAATATACAAAAATTAGCCAGGTGTGGTGGCACACGCCTACAATCCCAGCAACTCAGGAGGCTGAGGCAGGAGAATCACCTGAACCCAGGAAGCAGAGGTTGCAGTGAGCTGAGATCATGCTACTGCACTCCAGCCTGGGCTACAGTGTAAGACTCCATCTCAAAAAAAAAAAAAAAAAGAGTGACCATTTGTTCATAAGTGTTGAAGCTAGGTGACGGATGTATGGGAGTTTACCGCACTACTTCACTTTCAGAAATTTTTGAAATTTTCCGTAGTAAAAAGTTTAAAAACAAAAATAAGTAGAATTGAGTAAACAGTAGCTGTGATGGTTGCTGTTTTTTTCATGGATGTAGAGTGTAAGAAAAAATCATGGCTTATCTTTGTTGTCCACTTCCTTCCCCATAGAGCACAACCCTGACACTTCTATGAATGATACAAGGTCAATGTAAACCTAATGATATCAAACCACTCCTTCGTTTGTTTTTTTAACTGCCCATAGTCCTCTTAAGATCTCTTGCTTGTTAAAACACTTTGATAACTTCCCTCTACTCTAGGGGTAAAAGCCCCAATTCATAATAGAGCTGTTTACTTTTAAAAGGCCCCATTTATTTAGCCTCAATTCAGTTCACCGTCTCTTGGTATTCTGCACTTGGCCTTTTTTCTGTTCCTCAAATGAGTCATACTCAATCCTACCACAGACCCTTATCACATGTTGTCCCTACTGCTGCTATACTCTGCCCCTCACCCTCCAACCACCTTTGATCTGACTACTTCTACTCTTTTTTCAGATCTCAGCTCAATCTTTACTTCCTCTAGGAAGCCAGCCACTCCACCAAGCTAGAAAATTCACCATGTATACACTCTCATAATCTGTCATATACCTCCTCTTCATAATACTTAGCAAAAACACAATATTAAAATTTTGGTTTTGTTCATCACTGCATTCCCAACACTTAGCACAGGGCCTACCCCAGAGCAAATGACAAATAAATATTTATTGAATAAACAAATAAGTTAATTATGATTCTTTGACAAGCAGGCCCCCCTTCAGATGTTCCCACTGGTGCCAAAATACCTCACTGAAGGGACTGGAATTAAACTGTTGGACATCAAAAGTCCCAGTCGTTCCTTACCAGTCATCGCCTACATTGAAGGCATTAAGACTCTTGGTGAAGCCTTGCATATTTGTGGGGCTAACTCTCTGCAGGAAGTCAATGTAGTCCTCGGAGTGGAAGCGGCACATGTCATGCTGGGAGGCCTGGTATGGCTTGAAGACCTCAGGATGGAGACACAAGATGAACTCAGGCAGGGTCAGCCCCACTCCACAGGCTCAGACCACCCATACTGAACCCAGTCCTGGAGATTCTATGAAACCAAACATAACAATACTCTCATCCCACAATCGTTAAGTCAGGAGAGAGACTCCAACTAACCAGGTGGGCTATTACAATTGAGCCCCCTGAAGACCACTTCTTTTCCTTTCCACCTCCAGCTCAACCTATCGTACCTTCTCAACTTTGAGCCCTGATCCACCTGCCCTGTTCCTTGGCTTTCCTATTCCCATTTCTCTCCATGCTCATCTCCTCCCCCAAGCTCTGATTCTGTCCTCTTTCCTCTGGATTCTTCTTTCTGGAGTCAACTATATGGGATATATGTCAACTTTCTAATTAAAATCAAAGATTTATCATCTCTGGAAGGTGAGGGGGATGTGTCACACCTCCTTGAAAACTGGACAAGAAAGAGCTTTTCAGGCTGGGCGTGGTGGCTCAAGCCTGTAATCCCAGCATTTTGGGAGGCCAAGGCAGGTGGATCACGAGGTCAAGAGATTGAGACCATCCTGGTCAACATGGTGAAACCCCATCTCTACTAAAAATACAAAAAATTAGCTGGGCATAATGGTGTGTGCCTGTGATCCCAGCTACTCAGGAGGCTAAGGCAGGAGAATTGCCTGAACTCAGGAGGCAGAGGCTGCGGTGAGCCGAGATTGCACCATTGCACTCCAGCCTGGGTAACAAGAGCGAAACTCCGTCTCCAAAAAAAAAAGAAAGAGCTTTTCTTCTCCCAGAAAATGCACACAGGTACGTACGGGCAAACAATCTCAAGGGGTATAGATTCCTGCACATACATCACCTCAGTCTTTTCTATGACCAATCCATTCGTCTGTGCCTTGGCATAAGCAATTAACACTCATTCATATTGTTCACTAATTTCCTAGCAACACATAAAGCCTGGGCTGTCTTATTTTTTCTTTTGAGACAAGGTCCTCCCTGTCACTCAGGCTGCAGTGCTACAGCATGATCATAGCTCACTGTAACTTCAAACTCTTGGGCCCAAGCCATCCTGTCACCTCAGCCTCCCAAGTAGTTGGGACTACAGGCACACCCACCACGCATGGCTACTTTTATTTTTTATTTTTGTAGAGATGTGGGTCCCACTGTGGCCCGAGCTGGTCTCCAACTCCTAGCCTCAAGCAATCCTCCCATTTCAGCCTCCCAAAGTGCTGGGATTACAGGCATGGGCCACCATGCCTGGCTTAACTGTTACTATCCCATATCACAGCCATAAATTCCAAGCTTGGGGGACAGCATGTGTATGTCTGGGAGATGAAAAACTGGATAGCAATTAAGCAGAACCATGTAGAGGTATTCTAGGCTGAAAACGCAATATCTAGGATATCTCCACTCTTGCACACGCACATACACACTTACAAACATGGCAGCACTGTTGGTAAAGGAGGAGTGGGAACTGAGGGTAAATCTCACACCCCGATAAAGTGATATCCTTTCCCCCATCCCAATTCCTGAGGCTTAGGCCCTATCCACACTCTAAAATGCAGAGGAGGAACACACCTTCTGTCTTCAAACCAGTCCCACATCACCCTAACCCTAGGCCAAGGGCCAGTCTGTCTATAGTCAGAGGGTGGCGGACCTGCGGTGAGAAAGTACTTTCAATTAAGCAGAGGACGCCACCCCCAACACCGTGCACATTCAAGGTACTCCTGATGTCTTCTATCCAGCTTCCCCCTACTTTAGGGGCGGGTCGCATTCAATGCACTCAGACCAGCCCACCTATCCCTACGGCCACAGTTCTCCCCACCCCCCAACCCACGGCCGAGGCAGGGGGACTCACGATCATCTTCTTATAGAGACCGTAGTGCAGGACGAGGCTATGGGTCAATGCCAGGCGATGGGGCTTCATGGGGTGTCCAGCTCCTGGGGGGTGGGGAGAAGAGAGTTCGTCAGCTCTCACCCCTGGAGTTTCAACCCCCACCTCCAAATCTCCGCGTCCCAACCCCTCGTGCATATCCCTGTTTCTTCACCGTAGTGGAAGTTGCCCACGTCGGGGTCGTAGAAATAGGCCACGGTCTTGGCCATGGTGCCGGCGGGAGCAGGCCCCGCGCCTCCGCCGCCCGCCGCCAGCCCCGCCCCGGCCGTGCGTGCTGCGCCAGCACGTAGCCTGCCTCTGCGGAACTGGGCGGTGCGGGGCCCGCCTCCAGCCACACCCGGGCCAGGCCCCCAGAGGAGCTCCGCCCCTCGCCCGTCTCCGCTCTCCCGGGATCTGGGGCTTTGGGCGTCCAGGCGGGGAACTGGTAGCATCGCTCCTAGGATGCAAGGGCCTTTTCTCTCCGGCCGGGGGTCAGATCCTCGGAAAGCCGAGCCATCCCATCCAGCCGCTTGCCCCAAACCGGGCGCAGGCCGTGGTCACTTCTCTAGGAAGCTACGAAGGTCCCGCCACTCCCTCCCTCAAAGGTGCGGAAAGCCGGCTTCCCCCAGCCCTCGGGGAAGATTCCTGACTCCCCGCTCGGTCGGGGCATCTGAGGGCAGGAGCTGCGCCAGGCGTGCCGGATAGTGGACAACACCCACACCGGACAGCTTGTCCCCCACCCGGACCCAGACTCCGCGCCGCACATTGCCCCGGGGGGGCCCGGCGCAGTCACGCGCGCGCAAGGCTCACGCTCTCCGCCCATTACACCTGCGCTCCGCCCCCTGGTCCTGGGCCTGCGACCGGCGAAGGCGTTTGGGAAGCCAGGGCGGCTGCGGAGGCGCCCATCTCCCTGATCCAGGGCCGGGGTTGCTCGAAGCCTGCCGCCGCTCCCAGCCAGCCCGCATCCTTCTCTGTCCTTCCCTCCCCCCGCCTGCCACGGCGCCGGTATCCGCAGCCACAGCCCGGGGCCGGTGAGGCGGCGAAGGGGGAGGGGAGGAATCAAGGGATGAGCGCCGGGAGGGCGTCGGGGGCCCTGAGCCGCACTAGGACGCCCCTGGAGCCGGAACCCGAGCGGAAGCCGGAACCAGAACCAAATCACCGGTACTGGGCGGGCCAGGTGGTCTGGGTGGAAGAAACCGAAAAGGGGAAGGGGTGCGGGAGTACTGAGAGGAGAGGGTTGCAGAGGCCTGGCTCAGGCCGGCTCGGAGGAGGTGAGGGCGCTGACTCAGGCGCGATTTCTGCTCCCGCCGCCTAAGAATTCCGTCCCATCTCGTGCTGCAGTGTCCTTGGGAGGGACAGAAGCGCGAACAAGCTGTAAAGGGAAACGCTCGGGGCGTCGGGGAAACAGGACCAGGGTTGTGGTAGAGAGCTTGCGTAGCCGCTCACCTCTTGCCTCGGGCGGTACTGGCGAACCAGCACCCTTGGCCCGGACAGCTCCCCGGTTGGGTAGGGGGTGGAGCCGGACCGCTGAGACTAGCTTGTTTCAGACCCTGAGCAAGGCATTCCTACCCCTCCCCCATTCCCAGCTGCAGCCCCCTAAACCCAGGAGGCGCCCTGGCCCGCGCTCGCCCCCCAGGACCTCATGTCGGAACCACAGCCTGACCTGGAACCGCCCCAACATGGACTGTACATGCTCTTCCTGCTTGTGCTGGTCTTCTTCCTCATGGGCCTAGTAGGCTTCATGATCTGCCACGTGCTCAAGAAGAAGGGCTACCGCTGCCGCACGTCGAGGGGCTCTGAGCCTGACGATGCTCAGCTTCGGCCCCGTGAGTGAAGAGCCTGGAACCCTGGCTCAGTCACCTTTCGCCCTTCTCCCCACACCTTTGCCCCTCACCTCTGCCTCCCTGACCAACAGACCTAGGCCAAATCCTGGTCAAGCCTGCTCAGGAAGCCTAGTAATGCATTATTGAGTCAGCAAGTGGGGTGACACCACTCTGAAAGCAAAACTAGAAAAGGCAGCATGGGCAGGAAGGGTCCTCTGATGGTAGTCTTGGGCTCCCATTCGTGTCCCCATCTTTTCTGGTCCCTGAAATGCTGAGTCCAGCATGATAACAAGTAGGTAAAAGGGTATGTCCTGAGCAATTTATGATGGGGGCCACCAGGTAATGTTCCCCCAAAGCTGACTCATTCCTGCTTCCTTGCCAATCTCTTTCATCCTTCAGCTGAGGATGATGACATGAATGAGGACACAGTGGAGAGGATTGTTCGCTGCATCATCCAAAATGAAGGTGAGTCTAGCCTAGCCCCTTGCTCCCTCCTTCTCCAACCTTCTCTTGCCCTGACCTCCACCTTCACTGACTCCCTCTTTTCCTTCTTCCTCAGCCAATGCTGAGGCCTTGAAGGAGATGCTGGGGGACAGTGAAGGAGAAGGGACAGTGCAGCTGTCCAGGTGAGCTGGAAACAAGGGCCAGCATGACTTAGCTTGCCTTGGAGAGTATCCTCTCCTCCAGCACAATCCTCTCCCAGTCTCTTTGCATGTATGGGGTTGGGGGAAGGGCAAGGCCGGCTAACTTACACGAACAAAGAAGTTATGTAGAAATCTCGATTCCTTCAAGCCGTATCTCTCATCTAGTCAAGCCTAACATTCACCTCTAGTGCCACTCCCTTGGGCTAGCAATGCTCTTTTTAGCAAACAGCCCTGGAAGAAAGAACACATGGTCACTAACATCTTCATGTTGAGTTTATTAAAGACATGAAAAAATGTCAGGGTCTGGGGAAATTGGGGCTTCTGGAGTTTTAAGAAGCATGCTGAAAGAACATAAGAAACAAAACATGAAGGGAAATGGAAATGTTACCCCTGCTCCCCTCCTCCCTGCTGTCCAGTGTGGATGCCACCTCCAGCCTGCAGGACGGAGCTCCCTCCCATCATCACACAGTGCACCTGGGCTCTGCAGCCCCTTGCATCCATTGCAGCCGCAGCAAGAGGCCTCCACTTGTCCGCCAGGGACGGTCCAAGGAAGGAAAAAGCCGCCCCCGGACAGGGGAGACCACTGTGTTCTCTGTGGGAAGGTGGGGCAGGTGCTCCAGGGAAAGGGAGGTTGAGGTAGGGGGCCCAAAGATCAGGCACTTGATCCCAAAAGTGGGCCCTGGCTCTTTCCTCCTGGACTGGGAGCTCCAGCAGGAGTCAGGCATACGGTGTGCCCTACAATCTTAGAAGGCCTCCCCTACCTTAGGCTTGAGGGAAGTAGCCACCAAACCCAGGATGTCCCTGGTCAGAGGGGAGGGCCAAGCAGCCCCTGAGTTGTGGTCCTAAACCCCAGTGTTCCCTCCCCTCCCAGGTTCCGGGTGACACACATTGAGAAGCGCTATGGACTGCACGAACACCGTGATGGCTCCCCCACGGACAGGAGCTGGGGCTCCGGTGGGGGACAGGACCCAGGGGGTGGTCAGGGGTCTGGAGGAGGACAGCCCAAGGCGGGGATGCCTGCCATGGAGCGGCTGCCCCCAGAGAGGCCACAGCCCCAGGTCCTAGCCAGCCCCCCAGTACAGAATGGAAGACTCAGAGACAGCAGCCTAGCCCCTTGTGCACTTGAAGGGAACCCCAGAGCCTCTACAGAGCCAACACTGAGGGCTGGAGGGAGGGGGCCTAGCCCAGGGCTGCCCACTCAAGAGGAAAATGGGCAGCCAAGCAAACCGGACACTTCTAATCACCAGGTAGGAAAAAACAGCCAGGGCTGCATTGGGCTCAGCTCTTATTGCTGTCTACTCTGGGGGGCACTGATAGGACCTACTCCTGTTATCTGATTATTGGTCCTCCCCTTTCTTTCAGGTGTCTCTACCACGGGGAGCAGGGGGTATGTGAGGTGAGTCTGCCTGAGCCCTAAATGAGGTAATCTTGCCTTCCCAACACCTACTTAAACTACTTAAGCCTTTCAGCTCCCTGAACCCACAGAGTAAACTGCAGGCTTAGCCTTTGCTATAAATCCCTTGGTTTGGTGGTGGGAGTAGGGAAGGTTCTGCAGCCCCAGGGGAAAAGCTGGACACAGCTTGAATAGGAAGCAACAGACTTGTTACTCTTCCTCTTCTCCAAGTCTCCTTCTTCACTGTGCTGATGGACTACCAGCTGGCAGGGCCAGGGGGTGGGTGGGCGTGATGGCCCTCCCCTCTACTGGACAGCACTGCCCTCCTGCTGAGGGAGCAGCTCTACTTCCACCTGGAGTTGCATGGTCTCAGGCTGAGGGGCCTCAAGAGAGGTCATGGCCCCTCAGTCTCTTCTCCTTCCCCTGCCTGCAACAGGCTGCCTGACTGGCCTTCCCCAACACCTCGCTCTGTATGATAGAGCCTGGCAGCTGGGAGTAGGCTCCTGCCCCTGGTGGGCCCCTAAAGCAATAGCACCATAGACCCCCTGCCCTCTTAGCACAAGAGGCCCAGGCCCTGGCCTGGCCTTCATGCCCTTTATTCACTGTCAATAAATCCGCTTAGACCATTACAGCTGCTTCGAATCCTGGCTCCAGCTCCTTCTGATTCCCAAGGCCTGTTCCTCTCCCAGGCCCAACCCCAGTAACCCTGGCATCCAGAGTGGGGTGGGTCACAGAGCCAGGGTGGAGACAGAGGTAGGCCAGGACCACTAGAGACTTTGATGGATGGTTTCCAGCCCCAGAGATTTCAGGCATTTACCACCCTAAGTAGGGCGGTGGCAGAAGAGAAAGGAGTAGTTCAGTCCTAGAGATGATAGAACAATTGGAAAAAAAGGAGTAGGTTCCAGCCCCAGAAGTGGGAAGGGGCAAGTTTCTACCCTTGGAGGTGAGGGGGGAAATAAGGGATATTCCAGCTTTTGGCTGTGTTGCTCTGGATCACTGAGGGTGTGGTCTGACAGCTTGAAGATAGGGGCAGCAGCATCACTGGGGGTCAGGGATTCCCTGGCCTTCAGGTGAGGGGATCTGTGTGGTCAGGATCCCGGGCTTTAGCTGGCGGGGGAGGTGGTGGACGCATCTGTAGGGAACACACAGTTAGTTCTCCAGAGCCCTCCTTAAGGTTATCCCTATTCCCACAGCCCTGCAGACACAACAGGACTGGGTGGAATGACCCTGTACACACACTCTTCCCCAAGGCAAGGGCCCTTACCGGCCTGAGTCGAGGTGCCATCATGTCCAGGAGCCCAGGGAAGTCCAGGGCTTTGTCTGGAAACAAGAATCACAAGTCAGTCTTCAGACTTTGTTTTGTTCAATATCTCCAGCACTTAGGACAGTGCCATTCTATAAATATTTGCTAAATTAATGATCACCATCACTCCATCCACTATCCTCAACATTTACTGGGCAACTGCTGTATAATCAGCTCTGCTCAAGGTACAAAACTAAGGGAGATAGGATACACAGCATTCCCACCCCCAATAGCTGTCAAGAAACCAATAATGAAACCTCAACAAACACAATAAATAACTAAGTGCTAAGTTACGCCAAGTGAACTTGGGGTGGTAGAGATGGTGGTAACTCTAGGGAGGGAGACTCCTTGTGGACAAGGTGGAAGTACCAGAAGGTTTTAGAAAAGGCAGGCATTCTACAGCCATAAAAAAGAATGAAATCATGTCCTTCACAGCGATATGGATGGAGCTGGAGGCCATTAACCTAAGAGAACTAACTCAGAAACAGAAAACCAAACATTGCATGTTCTCACTTGTAAGTGGGAGCTAAACAATAGGTACACATGGACAAAGAGATGGAAATAACAGACACCCAGGACTCCAAAGGGGGCAAAGGTGGGAGTGGAGGCAGGGTTGAGGGCTGAAAAATTACCTATCAGGTACAATGCTCACTATTTGAGTAACAGGTATGCTAGAAGCCCAATCTCCACCAGTATATAATATATCCACATAACAAACAAGCACATGTACCTCCTGAATCTAAAATAAATAATAAAACTGCTATAGACATTTTAAAAGAAAAATAAAGGTGAGCATTAGAAAAGAAAAAATAATGACATAAAGGTAGGTATCTGGACACTAGGAGCAAAGAGTGCACTTGGGGAGCACAGTGAGAAAAGTTCGCTTTTTTTTTTTTTTTTTTTGAGATGGAGTCTCACTCTGTCATCCAGGCTGAAGTGCAGTGGCACAATCTCTGCTCACTGCAACCTCTGCCTCCTGGGTTCAAGTGATTCTCCAGCCTCAGCCCCCCGAGTAGCTGGGATTACCGGTGGGCACCACACCCGGCTAATTTTTGTATTTTAGTAGAGATGGGGTTTCGCCATGTTGGCCGGGCTGGTTTTAAACTCCTGACCTCAGGTGATCCACCTGCCTCAGCCTCCCAAAGTAATGGGATTACAGGTGTGAGCCACCATGCCCACCCCACTAATTTTTAAAATAATAACTGACTACATACTTACTGTGCCAGGCACAATGCTGTGTAGTCCACGGGCATCTTTTTTAACTCTCGTAACAATTCAGTGAGCTAGTACCTTTTCCTTACCTCATAAAGAACATAAACTGAGGCCCAGACAGGCTTAGAATCCCACCTCAAGTCACATACTTGGAAGTGACAGAACAGGACCTGAACCAGTCAGCCTGGCTCCAGAGTCCAGGCAAGTGCTGTCCACCAAGCTGCAACAGACCTTATTGCAAGATGCCTGGGGGCACGGAGAGGACCGGAGGGTGACCTAGGAGCCCAAGCTTCCTTGTTCTTCCTGTCTGTTAGCCTCCCAGGGCCCTCAATTCCCTCCACTCACCCCCAGGCAGGACAGGTGCAGGGGGCCCATCCAACGCAGAGGTAGGTACAGGTGGGGAGAAGCTGGGAGGAGAAGGGGATGGCAGCACCTGGAGGTGGGGTGGGCACGGAGTTATTCCTAGCAGGTGGGGAGGTTTTACCAGCTTTTCCTCTCATCCCATTTTCAGTTCCTTCCTTATCACTTCCCAATACAGGTAGTGGCCAAATGCCTGTATTCAGGTGGGGGTTGTAGCTGACAGATATTTCAACAACCAATATGTATTGAATGTTTACGTTTACCATCTCACGTGTTCTGCTAGCACTTCACACGTACTAATACATTCAGTCCTCACCTTTACCCCATGAGGTAGGCATTTATTTTTTTTTTTTGAGATGGACTCTCGCTCTGTCGCCCAGGCTTGAAGGCAGTGGTGCCATCTTGGCTCACTGCAACCTCTGCCTCCCAGGATCAAGTGATTCTCCTGCCTCAACCTCTCAAGTAGCTGGGACTACAGGTGCATACCACCACACCCGGTTAATTTTTGTATTTTTAGTACAGATGGGGTTTTACCATATTGGTCAGGCTGGTCTTGAACTCCTAACCTCATGATCCACCTGCCTCAGCCTCCCAAAGTACTGGGATTATAGGCATGAGCCACCATGCCCAGCCAAAGTAGGCATTTTTATTAATATGACTCCTATGTTTAAGACCCAAGTTAAGCCAGCTGTCCAAAATCACAGAGCCAGTTATTGGCAGAGTGCTGGCTAGAACCCAGCTCTCCTGATGCCCACTCCTATGCTCTTCTGCTGTATGTATATACAGTATAACAACAGGCATTCTTATATTGAAGCACCTTCTGCATTCCACTGTGCTAAAGGCCTTACCTCGATTATCTCTAATTATGGCAGTGAGCCTGCTAAAGTAGGTATTATCCCCATTTTCCATGTGAAGAAACAAGCTCAGAGAGGTTAAATCATTGTTCAAGTCATGCAATAGAAATGTGAACCCAGCCGGGCGCAGTGGCTCACACCTATAATCCCAGCACTTTGGGAGGCTGAGGCGGGTGGATCACGAGGTCAAGAGTTCGAGACCATCCTGGACAACAAGGTGAAACCCGTCTCTACTAAAAATACAAAAATTAGCTGGGCGTGGTGGTGTGCACCTGTAGCCCCAGCTACTTAGGAGGCTGAGACAGGAGAATTGCCTGAACCCAGGAGGCAGAGGTTGCAGTGAGCCGAGATCATGCCATTGCACTCCAGTCTGGGTAACAACAGCGAAACTCCGTCTCAAAAAAAAAAAAAGAAAGAAATTTGAACCCATATCTATCCAGCACTAAAGTAGAACCCCCAAACTCCTATGAAGTTTCCCTTTCCCCTGCCCAGCCATAAGAGATGGGGAGGCTCAAGCCACTATAGGTAAACCTGGGGAGCAAAGAGGGCATTAAGATGAATATGAGGTTTTATCGGGGTGGGAGGGTCAACCCAGAGGTGCCTGGGGAGTTCAAAGAGAAGGTAAGCCTCACCTGTTCAGGGTCAGAGAGTTCAGGTGGCCCTGGGGGGCCAAGCAGCTCTTCCACCAGAAGAGAGGGGAAGACCCCAACACAGCCTCCAAATTCTCCCCTCCAGAAGCCATCATCTACTCCATCTTGGGCCCGGGGAAGCAGACGGATGAGCGCCCCCTCGGGGAAGCTCAGCTCCTCTACACTCTGTCCGGTGTAGCTGTACAGGGCCCGCGCCAGGAATGCTACAGAGGCCGAGAGACGGTGAGAGGGAGGCGGGTGGCGGTGCGCCAGGACCCTGACACCCCAGGGCTATAACCCCTAACAATTCTCCATACCAAGGGTTCCCTGACCCAAAATTTCCCTTTCTTACCTGTGGGCTCTGCCCCGGAGGGATTGTCACTGTCTTGGCCGTTCTCTGGGAGGGAGAGGTCGGGGAAGTTGAGATACCGCTCAGGGACAAAGCCTACCTCGCCGTGCTGGTTCCGAGCCTGCTCACCCAGCAATGGGAATAGATATCAGACTTACCTCAGCAGTCCATGACCCTGGCTCTCCTCTACTCAGGCTTGTAGCTTTTCCTGGCTGGGTCCATGGGAGCCACAGAGAAGTCCCTCCCACTGCCCCCAACCCAAAGTCACAGCCCAGGGTCCCATACCCACCTTCACCCATTCGTCAGCGTCTCCCTCCTCTATGACCTCCAGCCACTCACCCTCCATGATGGTCAGCTCATCCTCATGCCCTGCCTGGGCCACACACGAAGGATTAAGGACTTGGCTGTCCCCCCACCCTTGCCCATCAGAGGTCCCCATACAATTCATACCTGATAGCGAAATACTACATGTGCAGGGCAGGGGAGGGGCCTGGTGGCCAGGGCTGAGGGGGCAGGCTCCTCAAAGAGCTCTCCAGTCTCCTCACATTCCTCAAAGTCAGAAAGGTCAGCATCCTCAGCCTGGAGGGGCAAAGAACAGACCTCATATGGGGCCCACTCTCAAGCACTGGTTCTATCTCCCACTCTTCCATCTTCCCCCTGAAGGACACCATGGATTCCCCCTCCAAGGTAGTAGCACCCATCCACTCATCCTGTACACAACCACAGTCACCACAGAGCAGGGGAATACTAACAGTGATAGCAGCATTATAGCAATTGAGTACGTACTATGTGCCAGGCTCAACACTAAGTATCTTATGTATGTTGTCTCATTCAATCTTCATAAAGAGCCAGTTTTATTTTGCACAACTATTAACCTCACTTTACTTACAAGGAAACTGAGGTTCAGAAGGTTAAGTCACTTTTCAAGATTGCCCAGCTCATAAGCGGAGTTGCTGATATTTAAAGCCCTTACAGATTGCCCCGGAGCCCTACTTCTTAATCATTCTATTATGCTCATAATAAAAATTTACTGAAGACTCTATGCCAGAGATTATGCAAAGAATTATATATGAATGATTTCACTTAAGCCTCACAATAACCCTATGAGTTAGGCACAACTGTGATTCCAATTTTATAAGGTCTGTCTTCCACTGGAGTTTTTCCCTTCTAAGTATGTATGGGTAGTGTCTCGGGAGGAGCTCACAGTTGGAGAGAGGTCCCTTTGGGACAGCCGAGCCTCACTGAGCCGTCGCTCCTGCTCCACCTCATCCTGGGCCTGGGTCATGGCTGGCTTCAGCCAGCGCTGCACATCTAGGCCTGCCCCCTGCAGCAGAGCCAGCCGGGCAGCCCCCTTCACCTGGCTCACCTGGCATGAGGAGGAAGGAAGTTAGTGGAACCTGGCCCATGGCAGCGTCTATTCTCTGCCTCTCCCTTCTTTCCTTCCCACAATCAGAAAGAGAAGTAGAGGGAGTGAGGCTTGCCTGAGAAGGTGGGATCTCTAACCCCAGGGCTGTATCTCACCTGTGCCCGGTGGATGCTCTCTCGCACTTCCTGTAACCTCTGTTCTATGCCTGGAGCCTCCCTCTCTAAAGCCTGCTGTCGCCTCTGCTCCAGTCGCTGCAGTACCTGGTTGGGAAGGCAGAGAACAGGGGTGGGTGGAGATACTGTTGGACATGACTTGCTATGGGCCTGGTACTTTGCTAGTTGCATCACACACATTATGTCATTTAATCTTCCCTAAGAGGTGAGCACTATTATTGGCCCTACTTTAGCAATGAGGAAATTGAAGTCCAGAAAGGTTAAGTCACTCCCTTACTCAGGGTTACAGAACTAGGAAGCAAAAGAAGAGAATTTGAACCTATATCGGTCTAGTTCCAAAAACTCTGCTCTTTACTACTGTGCCACACTGTTACCTTAAAATACCTCTCATCCATTTAAGAAAAAAACAAACAAAAAACAGACCTTTCCCTCCCCTCTGTAGCTCCATGACAACCCCAATGGCTCTAGGATCCCCTCTCAGCTCTTCTTGCTGAGATAAGAAGGTGTCCATGACACCTGCGCCCCCCACCTCACCCGATGCCCATGGTTCTGGATCTTGTAGTCACGGGCAGCTCGGCTGGTCAAGCGCTGAACCTCTTTCTCCAGGCCACTCTCGCCAGCCATGCCTTCTGCTCCCCACTCCAGGACACACACCTGCATGGGGCAGGAGGTGCTGTGAGAGGATGTGAGGCTGCTCCTTCTCTCCAGTTCCCTCCTTTTTCCACTCTGTCTTGACCTCCGAGGACAAGGACAAAGAGGAAGGGGAACATGCCCATGGCAGGGACACAGGTAATGTGGACACAGAGATACAGAGCTTCAGAAACGGGATCCAGGTCGAGGGACAGAGGTAGAATGAAAAGGATGGTGCAGTCAAGTGACTGAAAGGTAGACTGAGGTGTGTTTTTGTGTTCTGGTGGGAGGGAGGTGAGCTGGAGTTCTGAAATCCCCTCTCCATGGTGTAACACACAGTAAGTTAACACAAAGACAAGGATAATGGAGGAGGAGGCCTAAACCATAGTCCCCTTTATATGTGGCCCAACAAGCAGGAAGGTCTCACCTGATCAGTCCCTGCTGGCTGAAACTGCTGAGGTGGAGTGGGGGAAAATACACCAGGCTCCTGAAGAAACAGCTTCAGGTCTTGCTCCCAGCTTACCTAGGGGATGGGGAAAGTCAGTCACTCATTCACTGGCTCACTCTCCAACTCTGTCCCTAGCACTTCTTGGAAGAAAGAGGACGTGTGAAGGAAAGGGGCAGATGTGCAGTGGGAAGGTCTGCGTTGGGAGGGAAGGGTAAAAAGGATCCCTGGGGAACTCTTACAGGCTGAAGCCCACACCTGGGAGATTGTCTGCTCCCCACGGTGGGCATGCTCCAGGATGACCTCTGCGGCTTCCAGCTCAGTGCAGCTCAGGGAGGTCAGGGGGTCCCTCAAGTGTTCTGACAGCTCACTGACCAGGGCCTAGAGAAAACCCGAAGATACTGACACCACCCTTCCCCCAGACCTCTACTGTACAGTAGGCTCATTCCAGATTTGATGGGTATGGACATGAGGTATGGGAAGGAGGGAAGAAGACATTCGTGAGAAAGGCCCTCATGTGTGCAGAACACTTAGCAGTTTACTTCACATTCATTCTCTCCTTGAGCCCCATTAGTGTTATAAGATAGGCAAAGAAGGGGTTATCCCTCATGAGGAATCTGGGGTTCAGAAGGGTTAAGTGTACTGAACAATGCCATGCAGCCAGCTAGGAGCAGAACCAGAGCCCAAGTATCTATCATCTACCCACTCTAAGCAGACAAGATCCCCTGTACCACCCAGCATCATGGGCATCAAGAAGCAGGGGAAGGTCCTCCTCTCCCTCCCTGCTGAGGAACGGGTATCTGGGTTAAGACTGGCCTTGAGCAGAGCTGGCAGTTCCTCCTGGTAGTAATGGTCGAGGTGGGCATTGGTAGCCACCAAGTTAAGCAGGTACTCATTGCGGGCTGCTCGCAGCTGCTGGGAGTACTGGGCTGACTGAGTGGACAGCTAGGAGGGTAAACTGGTGTCAGTTGGATGCCCTCGACCCCCAGAGTCCTTCCAAGACCAATTGAGAAGCCAGATCCAGAATGGATTCTCACATTATTGAGTGCTTACTATGTGCCTGGCACTACACTAAAAATTTTGCATACTCACAACTCCTGGTCAAAATCCTCTGGTGCCTTCTGCACACATTTAAAATAAAATCCACTGTTCCTTACTGTGGTCCACCAGGTCCAATATGAGCTGGCCCTGGCAACCTCTCTGACCTGTTTTCAAGTGCTTGTTCCCTTGCTCACAGTACTCCAGCCACACTGGCCTTCTCTCAGTTCCTCAAGCTTACAAAGTTATTCCCACCTCAGAGCCTTTGCACTTGCCAATTCTTCTCTATGGAATGTTCTTCCCCTAGATCTTTGCAAGGCCAGCTCCTTCTTGACAGTTAGGCCACCTATTCAGAGAGGCCTCCCTTTAACTTCTATCCCTTTGTTATTCTTTATCATAGTACCTTGTTTTATTTTCATCTTAACATAAGTATTTATTTGCTGCCTGTCTTTCTTAACCAGGCTGTGAGGGCAGGAACTCTATTGGTAGTGTTCTCCACTGTATCCAGAGTGTCTAGAACAGTAGCTACTACATATAGATCCTCAATAAATGTATATTAAAGGACTGGAAAAAAAAGATATTCTTTCCATTTTAAAAATCAAGAAAATAAGCCTCAGAAAGATCAAGTAAATTAACCAAGGTCACCAACCCAGGAAGGAGGGGGGTCTGGATTCTACCCAGTCTCTCATACTTATGCACCTAGGTTCCAAACCACTAGACTACTCTGCCCCCTCTCTTCCCTGACCCACACTTATGCCCTCATCCCTCAAACCTTGGTGCTCAGTTTCTGGAGACTGGTGCGAGAGTGGAAGATCCCATGGTCACTTCGGTTTAGCCTGTGCAGATGAGGGAAAGGAGTCAGACCCACCCCAACTGGGAGAATATGAGATCAGAGTCGGGCCCAGGTTTGGTGACTTGGCTCCAACCCCACACAGCCCCACCTCCCTGTTCCCCCACCTTGGGCTTCCCCACTCTCCATGATCCCACCTGGCCTGGACATCAGCTGCCTTCTCCTGTGCCAAGGCCCACACTCGTTCCCGCTGCCCATACAGCTTCCGACTTCGGCTCAGCTCCCGGACAGACTGCAGCACCTCAGCCTGCGCCCTCTGGAGGTTCTCTGTTCCCTGTCGGGATGCATACACAAAGTCCTGACCTAGGCCACCTCTGGTCCCAAGCCAGCTCTTCCTTCACCCCATCCTCTGAGCCATACCTTCCTAAGCACCTGCTCCTTGGCGCTCCGCCCTGTACCCCCTGCTAGGTCACGGTATCGGTCGGATGCCTGGATCCGGGTTTGGCCCCCAGCCACGGTGGCATCCAGCAGGCAGCGCCAGGCACCAAATACTGTCCTGACCCTCCCCAGAGAAGGTCTGTGTTGAGGAGGAGAGCACTCCACAGCTTCATGAGACCCGCCCCCCACCGCCCCCTGACCAACACCATGGGAGACAGAGTGCTTTCCAGTCCTCCCTTGTCTGGGAGCCCATCAATCGATCAGACCATTAGCTCAGCCACAAGCCTCACTCCTGCCCTCCACCCAACCCACAGTGTCCTTGCTGGGTCAGCTCCTCTGCTGCTGCTGTGTCAGCTCTACCTGCAGCTCACATGCCCTCCCCACTTGCTAGGCCTTCATCCCCACAGGTTTCTGGGGCTGAGCTCCCCATCACTTTTTAGCCCCTGTGGCCCACTGCCTCCATAGGGCCCACCTGTTGTCCATCTCGCCACTCCGATGCCCTTCCCTCTTCAGGAATGGACCAGCCAGTTTCTGGAGTGCCTGGTGAAAAAGCCATCGCAGACCAAGTTCCCTTTCAAAGACCCACCCCAACTGGGAGAATATGAGATCAGAGTATAATCATACCATTCTTTGGGTACATTACGTGCCACTTGCTTTGCTAAATGCCTTATAGTCATTAATTTGTTTAATCCTTACAACAACAACCCTACTGCATGAAGGTATTATTATCGTTCCCATTTTACAGAGAAAGAAACCGAGACCAAGAAAGATTAAGTAACTTGTCCAAGGTTACACAGCAGGGGTCTAACACCAGTCTGTCTCACTCTAGGCATCTGCTCTTGACCATAGTAGAGATAGGTATGGACAGACATTGCTAGTGATGTAAAGGAGGCTGGAACAAGAGGTAAGGTCCAGAGAAAAGTCCCATACCTGCCCATACTCCCGTTCAATGGCTGCCCTCTGCTTGCTGTAGGATCTGTGGAGATTGCAGATGGGGGGTGAGGTAGGGGATAAGGTTATGTTTGGTCCTGTTCTCCCATCCTCAGTCCTCTACTCTGGGCAGGAGGAAGCAGGGGAGCCAGGTTCCTAGAATGTGACTACACCCAGCGGGAATGGGACTGATAAGAGTCCTTGAGATCACCTCGGGCAGCTGCAACACAGGAAACCCTCATCTCACTGCTCAGGGCCCCAGCAGGATCCTCCCCACCCTGGAGGTTCATCTGTGGGCTTAGGGGTGAAGACTGATGGGGGTCTGGGTACATTGTCTGCCAGCCTTCCAACAGGTTTGGAAGAAGGAAAGGGATTTTGCCCTAAGCTTGATTGTGGGGGTGGGGGCAGTGGTGTAGAGTCAAGGGCTTTGAGGGAGGGTTCCTGTGTGTTTATGTGGGTGTGGAGTGGGGGGGTTAGGTGGGGGAGCATTCCTATTTAGTATCTGGAGAGGCCAGGCCTAGGGAGAGGGCTGTGGATGGGTCGGCTGTGGAGCTCTTGGCCCGTTCCTCCAACCGGGCAGATGTATGTTGAGAAGAGGCGTGCAACGACTAAGTGAAGGGGCTTAGGGGCTACCTGATGTCCTCCAGCAGATCCGCCTCCCTTTGCTGCCGGGTCTGAAGGATGCTCAGCTGTTCCAGGAAGCGAAGCTTCACCTCCTGGGCCGGCTTCACCTGTGGGGGCAAGGAGAGGGTGAAGACCCCCGGCCCGAGGCCCTAAAAAACACTCCGCGCAGGGAGCGGTGAGGGGGCGGGGCCGGGGAGGGGCTGAGCTGTTTCCTCTGTTACTTCTGGGTTGGCCTCTGACTCCTTCCGACTTCCCGTCTCCCACCCCAAGTCGGGTGCCCCCCTTAGCTCCCTCTGCTCCCCTAGCCCGCCAGGAGTCCCCCATTCAAGACCAAGCTTACTTTTCGGGGCGGTGGCTGCATCTCCGCTTCAGCAAGGCAGCCAGCGACTGGACTCCGGAACTCGAGGAAGCCCCGCCCAATGTGTAGCCCCGCCCCAGGCCTACGAAGGCCCCGCCCTCTGCCCGCCCACGCCTCGTCCGGCGACGGCGCAGGGCGCGGAAGCGAGAGGGCGCCGCGGAGGAACTAAATCTGTTACTACTGAGAATACACCGGGAGGGTCCGGGCGACGGGGCAGACGCAGCGTGCGCTGGGCGGTGGGGAGAACCCCAGGCTTCTGAGTCAAGACGCCTGAGTTCTATTTGTAGTATAGCCACTGATTCAGCCTATAATTATTGATAATTATTCATTTGCATATGTAGATCACCAGCCCCCGAGCTAATGATGAGGAATGGCGAGAATCTCAATGTGTGACCAGGGAAACTGAGTCACTGGGCACCTGAGCAAAGATGCATCTGACGAAGAGAGGGCTGGTCCCAGACCTTTTCCTAATTCCCGCTTAACTGGAAAAGCAAGCGTCAGCGGGGTGGGAAAGATGCCTGGAGCCAGGAAGGAACCAGGCCCAGAGGAAAAAAGACTGGGTCCCACTGAAAAACTAAACGATACCAGAGAGTCGGTGAGAACTGGGAGATGCGCAGGAAGCCCCTGCCACCTTCAGGATCTTCCAGCCCAAGCAGTAATTTCTAAGGAGCCTCAGCCCATTCCTCATACTTCTCACCTAAACTTCTTTGGCTCAGGCACCCGTCTTCGTACCCTTGACAAAGCTCAAAACTCTAGATTCACACTTACAACTCCCCAGTGACACCTCTACTGGTATCTATAATAGGAACCTCAACTTTTAAAGCTTTTAAAACTCCTTCAACCTGATCCTCCCTCAGGTAACATTTTAAATGGCACCACATTTCCTCCAGTTAGTTAAGTCAGAAACTCAGAGTCAGTGTGCCTTCTCCTACCCCTCCATCTATCCATCAGCAAGTCCTATAGGTTCTATTTCAAACAACAACAAACAAAGAAACAAAAACCTGTTGATCCACTTCCCTTGATTTCCAAGACCATCATCCTAGTCCAAGCCACCATTATTAGTCTTCTGGTCTAATATCTGGTCTCCTTGCTTCCACACTGCCCCCACCCCAACCCACTGTTCACACAGCACTCAGAGTCATCAATCTTTTTTTTCTTTTTTAAAGGGAAATAAGATCTCATCACTTTCTTGTTTAAAATGCAATTACTTCAGAATAAAATCCAAATAGAATCCAGGGCCTTCAAGGCTATGCATGGAAGATCCTGCTCACTGTGCTTCAGCCTCCTTGCTGTTCCCCCAGTAGACCAAGTTCCTTCTAGTGCAGAGCATTCTTCATGCCTGCTTTCTTTCTCCAGAAGCTCCTCCTTCCAGCATTCCAGCTCTCTCCTCCAACAGCTTCTTTCCCTTACTTTGCAGCTCTTCACAGATGCCTTCCCACCCAGTCCAAAAGCCATCTTCATAATCACTCTTTTTTTTTTTTTTTGCGGGGGTGGGGGACAGAGTCTCGCTCTGTCACCCAGGCTGGAGTGCAATGGTGTGATCTCAGCTTACTGCAACCTCCGCCTCCTAGGATCAAGCGATTCTCCTGCCTCAGCCTTCCAAATAGCTGGGATTACAGGCACATGCCACCACACCACACCCAGCTAATTTTGTATTTTTAGTAGAGACAGGGTTTCACCATGTTGGCCAGGCTGGTCTTGAACTCCTGACCTAAGGTAATCTGCCCACCTTGGCCTCCTAAAGTGGTGGGATTACAGGTATGAGCCACTGTGCCCAGCCTCCACAATCACTTTGGTTTAGTTTCTTCACAGCACTAAACTCGCTTGTTCAAGTACTGGTTTATGTACTGTGTTTATGTACTTGTGTTCAAGTACTGTGTTTATTTGCTATGTTCTATTCCCCTCCACTATAAGGATCCTTAAGAGCAGGGGCCCTGTTTGTTTTGTTTATGCTATATCCGCAGACCTGGCACCAATTAGGTGCACAATACATATTTGTTGAATGAATGAATGGATGAGAATGGTAGTCTTTTGGTTCCAAGGTTTACTGACAATGACTCATTTATTTTTGGTTCCCCCCATCCCAGCTCCTCAAACTCAATCAGTCTCCCTACTCCAGGCTTCTTTGTAGTTCCAGAATGTAGGAAGTGGGGCAGGATAGACTTGAACATCATCCAGGCCTCTGGTTTCCAAAGCATTTTTTTCTTTAATGCAGAAAAAACCATTCCTTTAAGACCCAAAATGTCTCACAGAACCCCTACATATCAAATATATAAAGCAGGAGCTGCCCTTGTTGAGGGAAAATATGTGGGGCTATGACTCTGAGAAACACAGTTTGACATTCACTGCTCTCCTTACTTCAGTTACCTCATGGTATAGAAAAATGCCATGACCTGTCCTGGGACATGCAGCCACTGAAGCCTTCAGCCCAGTGCTCCTTCCGCAGCACCACTGGATTCTGGAGTCTTTCCCTCCAGGGCAGAGGAAGCTGCCAGCAATGCCATGATAAGAGCTTCTGGGTCTTCTGGTACCTACTCTCTCAGTCTGCTGGTCCTAGGATCATGTGAGGGGCTGGCTGGAGGGTGGACTGGAAGTGCAGGGGGGTTGGGTGGGGAAACCAGTTGTCTGTGTTGGAAGGCCAATGGGGCCGGGGGACTGAGGACTGGATGGCTGGGAAGGACTTCCCAGGCCTGCAGTGAGCTCTCCTTTTCTCAGGATGAGGCTGTTGAGCTCCTGAAGCAGCTGTTCCTCCAGGGAACCCCGTGCCTGGGGACTACTCTTTGAAGGGGGGCCTGGAGGAGGCTCAGGTGGCCTCTCCTCCTGGTCCAGGGTGCATGACTTGTAGATAAAAAGTTGATCCAAGGACTTCTGGCTGGTGAGGGGGTTCTCTGGCTTCACTGTCCACTCCCGTGTTGTAGAGAAGGAGGTGGAGGTATCCTGGGTCAACTCAGGGAAGGCCCCTACTTCCTCATACACTGGTTCCTCGTACACAGGCTCCTCCACCTCCTCTTGCTCCTCCACAGACCCCTGGGATGACTTCATCGGCTGGATTGGAGTGGGGTGGCAGGAGTGGACACAGAGTTAGGGTTACCAGATTATTAATCACTAACATTACTGAGTTCTTCCTCTGGGCCAGATGCTGCAAAATACTTGGCATGTATGATATTGGAACAACCCTTTTGTGTTTTACTGCAAAAGAGTCAAGTGAAGTGCAAAGGGGTTAAGTAAGTTGCCCAGCATCACATAATGAGTAAATGGTAGAGCTAGAGTTCGAACTCAGGTCTGTCTAACTCCAAAATGCATTCACTCCATCATTTGCCTTCTATTTCACAGATTCTCTGGCACCTTACTCCATTTTTTTTTTTTTTTTTTTTTTTTTTTGAGTTGGAGTTTTGCTCTTGTCACCCAGGCTGGAGTGCAATGGCGCAATCTCAGCTCACTGCAACCTCCACTTCCCAGGTTCAAACGATTCTCCTGCCTCAGCCTCCCAAGTAGCTGGAATTACAGGCATGCACCACCATACCCAGCTAATGTTGTACTTTTAGTAAGAGACAGGGTTTCACCATGTTGATCAGGCTGGTCTTGAACCCCTGACCTCAGGTGATCCACCTGCCTTAGCCTTCCAAGATGCTGGGATTACGGGCATGAGCCACTGTGCCTGGCCAACTTTATCCTTTTATTACCACATCTTACATCCCTCATTGTCCTCATTCTTTCTGGCCTTCCCTCTCTTTATCCTCTCTCTCTCTCTGTCCTGCCTCCTGCCCCCAACATACACACACCCTGATGGCCTACATGAGGAAAACAGAGTACACCTGGGGCTCAGGCAGCACAGAGGAATGCAGGCTGACAGGCACACTGCTGGAGCAGGCACAATACTCACAAAGAACATGGACAGGGTCCTCCGGTTGTGTAGTCGGCGCTGGGCACAAATTGGGTGGAGACGAGCGGAGGGAAAGACATAAAGACACAGTGAGGACTAGCAACAGGAGACAGGGGTGGGCAATGGGGAGGAGAAGGCAGAAGGGAGGGGGACAGTGAGCATAGGGTGGCACCAGGCTGGCAGGCACATCACTCCCTACTGCAGTGTGACAAGGGTTACGGTAAGAATCAGGGGTTGGGGCAGGCAGGGTGCCTTACCAGGGTCTGATTGGCAGAGAGGAGGGTGGCTCCACTGTCATCACCGTGGATGGGCAGCAAAGGCATAGTGCCAAACTTCTGACGGGCAAGGTCAGAGGAGGAGCGGCGTCGTAAGACCACTGGCTGCTGGTCATCGTGCTGGTGAGAACGTGAGGAATTGGCACCAGTGGGCATGAAAGGCACTGAGGGTCCACACAGGAGGACCACAGACCCAGCCCTCAGCCTTTTCCTTCCCCTCACCTGAGCTTTAAGGATGCTGGTGGTCCAATCCCACATCTCATCCTCATCAGTGCAGGATAAGTAGCTGGGGTGATCAGAGAGGAATCAGAGAGAAAGAGAAGGTCACAGCTATAGGAATGGAGGATAGAAAGAGGGAGGAGAAAAGACAGGGTGCAGAGCTGGGCCAGAGGAGAAGCCAGGGCAGGATGTACTCACAGGTGCATCTTCTCCAGTATCAGTGTGAAGCCCCACCTGCGAGACAAAGAACAGTGATGGGGCAGTCAGAAAGGGCAGAGGGGTGAAGGCAGGAAGGCCCTAGAAGTGCAGGCTGGGGAAGAAAACTCACGGTGTTGGGGGCTTCAACTTCTTGCGGATTCCCAGGTAGACTTTGGCACCTTCCAAAGGCCACTCCCGTTCTGGTTTAGAGCTCTGAGAACAGAAACAGAGTCAGTGAGGTCAAGAGATGAGAGATTGTGGTTAATGCGGTCAAGGAGTCATAGAAGCAATGGGGTCTGTGGTCACAGGGTCACAGAAGTCAGGTCATGGAAACAATGAGATTGATAAGAGTGTGGGCTGCGGAGTCAGAGGGTGGGTGCAGTCATGGCTCCTCCTCCACGGCCACCCAGCACCCCACACCTCTGGCCCCAGGGCCTCACCTTCTTCTCCTTGAGCAGCAGCAGGCAGCGGCCACGCAGCAGAAAGAATCTCTCCTGGAAGCGGCTTCCCAGCAAGCGGGGTGGCTCTTCACGACACCGTAGCAGCCCCACCCTTGGGCTCTCACGTCGTATACCTGGGCACAGATGAACAATCCTGGGTGGAGGGTGCTAGGGGAGAGGCCTGGGGGATGTTGGGCAGAGGAAGGAGGCTCACCTGTGAAGAGACAGCCTGCCTGGGCCAGGGGGACTTTTTTCAAGAGCAGGGAGGCTGAGCAGGGCTCTGGGAGCTGGCACCATTGTAGGGCCTGCTCTAAGACTTTTTCCTTGGGATGCAGTGGCCGCTCTTAAGGGGTAAGGTGAGGGTATATATCAATCAGAATGTTCATACCAAGCCCCCAACTCTCACCAGTCATTCATTCATCCATTCAACTATCCAACCACAGATATTTATTTTTCACCATCTCTATGCCAGGCACTGTGCCGGCCCTGGGATACGGTGGTGAGCACGATACATGTGGATTGCCTTTGCAAAGCACACAGTCTAGTGAGGGCACAGACAACAAAATAATTGCAGACAAATAATTGCTTTGCAAGAAACAATAAGCTGAGCGAGCAATAGGACAGCAACTGAAATAGGGTAGTCAGGCAAGACCTTTCAAAAGTGGCACATGAAGATGAGACTCAGAGATTTGAAGGATTAGGAAGAGCAAACCTCGCTAAGATTGGGTGATAGAAGATTTCAAGCATGACAAGATGCAAGAACAAAGGCTCTGAATCAGGAGAGATGTATTTGGGGAACTAAATATTCAATGTAGCTACAGCAAAGAGGATAGATATGAGAACAGGTGACGTGAGATGAAGTATGGAGGACGCAGAGGCCAGATATTCAGGGCCGTGTAGGCCATTGTAAGGAACTGGAATGATACTTTAAGTTCAATGGAAAGCTTTGGAAGGGTTTTAACCATAGGAGTGATATGAGCTGGTTTAGGCTTGAAATGTTCATTTGGCTGCTGCATGGAAATGGGTTGTAAAGACGCAAGAATGGAACACTGTCCAGCTATCCCCTTTCTGGGGCCACACATTTTAGTGGTTACCGTTCCAGACAAAAAGATGATGGTGACTTTGACTAGGATGGTGGTAGCAGTGGAGATGGAGAGAAGTGATCCATTCTAATGGAGTCGACAAGACTAGTTGGTGAGTCTCAACTCATGAAGATGATGCAAAAGGAGGCGTCCCAGAGGACTCCCAGGTTTCTGGCCTTAATCACTGGGTGAATTGTGGTTCCATTTACTGGGTTGGGAAAAACTGGAGAATGACCTAGGCTTTTTCTTAGGAAAGGGGGCTAGAAATCATTTAAATTGGTCTTGGATGTTTTAAAGTTGAGTTGCTTGTCAGAAGTGGAGGTGTTGAGTAGGCATTTGGGTATGTGAGTCTGGAGCTGATAGGGGAGATGTGGGCCAGAGATATAAATTTGGGTGTCAGCTTACTAATGGCATTTAAAGCTATGGGGATGGATTTGTTCATCCAAGGAGAAATGTAGATAGATAAGAGAAAAGGACCCAGGATTGACCTGTGGGTCTCTCCAGCATTTGGAGTCTGGGCGAAAGAGGAAGAGAAGCCTCTTTTGAGGTAGAAGGTAAACTACGAGCTTATGGGGGCCACTAAGGCCAAGATGGAAGAATACTGAGAAAGAGGGGGTGAGTCAACTGTGTTGAATGTCCCCTTGCATGGATGAGTGGATGAGTCCACTGTATTTGGTAACATGAAGTCTTTGATGACCTTGACCATACAACCACACACACGCATATACACATGCATGAACACACGGGCATGGTCATACTCACCCAGCTCCCCATGCTCTCGAATCTCAAAAGTC